ATCGTCCGTTCTTCCTTGGCTGATTGAGTATACCAAGGCGGCGAGTGCAAGGAGCAGGGGACCGGTACGGGAAGACACACCCGACGACAAGTTCAAAAGGGCGGCGCAAGCATGCCGGCACTCTGGAGGCGTGAAGGACGCAGCAAGAGCGCTCCTAGCCGATCAACCGTCACCGGGGAACGACGAGACATGGGCACGTCTGAAAGCCAAATTTCCGCATGAGGATCCCGTACAAGTGGAGCAGGCCATCGCCGAAGCCATAGCTGCAAGCCGCACCGAGGAGGAGGAAGGAAGCGCCCCGAGATGGAGGCCAGAAACCGAGTTCGATCCACAAGTACTCCTTCAAGTCATCAACAGCAGAAGCTCTAACTCTGGAGCAGGAAATGACGGGCAACGTTTCTCCCACCTTAAGTCCATCGTCAACACTAAAATTGGTCGGGAAGAGTTCAGCAACGCGATGTCGTCCCTTTGGAGGAGGCTCATCAACGATCCCAACGCGTTCCCACCGGAGTTCTGGACTCTTTGGAAACAATCCAGTCTAATCGCCCTCGGTGAAAAGTGCCGTCCAGTGTGCATTGAAATGACTTGGAGAAGGCTGATTGCAGCGGGAACGGTCAGGGAGTGGAAACCGAAACTGGAAGAAATATTTCGGGAAGCGGACCAATTCGGAGTGGCGGTAGCTGGAGGAGTTGAACAAGTTGCGATGGACGCACAACTGGTTCATCAGACAGGTCATTGGGTAGTCCAGACGGATTGCTCAAATGCCTTCAACACGGGCAAGCGCACCGCCATAATGGCCCAGGCCGCAAAGAGCGTCCCAGATCTCGTGGGGTACATCGCCAGGTGTTACGACGAAATCCCGGCAAAGGCGATATACACGATGGACTCCGGAGAGCGTCGGACGATCGAGTGCAAGAGCGGTGTGCAGCAAGGAGATGGAATGGGACCGCCCCTGTCCTGCTTCATCCTAGTCCCGATCGTCTTGAAGCTTAGAGCCAAGTACGACCACCTCGGGGTATGCTTGAAAGCTTATATGGACGACATCAGCCTGCACTTCAAAAATATCACAGCGGAAAATATCCAGGTGATACCGGACCTCGTCGACGAACTAGAAGCTGTGGGCATCATCGTCAACAGGGGGAAGAGCTCAGCGCTTCCCCCACCAGGGCACGACGTGACGCCAGCAGAAAGGAGGCTGCTTGGCGATGCAGGCCTACCGATTGCGGAGGAGGGCATCACAGTTTTTGGGAGTCCTCATTGGGACGGATGCCTACGTCGAGGATATCGCAATGAAAGTGATAACTGAAGGGGGTGCAGACAAGCTTGCTCGCATGCTGGTGCGCATGCCAGACAAACAGGTGGCTCACCTCGTCACATCACAATCGCTGACACAGCGATCCGGATATATCGAGAGAGGCATCAATCATAAGCTAGTGAAAGGGGCTTGTAAACGCCTGGACAATATGGTGATGTGGGTCCTAGAGGCAACGATGGGGCTCAGAGACACCGAAGTCGAAGAAGAGTTCTTCCAAGACGACTGCCAGCCTGACCGCTTCAAGTTAAAGCCCTATCAACAAGCCCAGGCGCGCCTGTCGACAGGAGCCGGAGGACTAGGATTACCAGCAGCCGTTATGCGAAGGTTCTCAGCTTCTCTGGGCAACCTAGTCGGCACCCTTCCTGCGGTTATAGCCGCGTTACGGGGTCCATTGGGAGAGTCGGTGAGAGTTCGGATACCGGGAACCGTGTTGGTGGAGCGGATGGGGGACGCTATCAAAGAACTCAACCAGGAGCATGCAATATCGGTGGAGATTCTGAAGGGGATCATTCCCCCGTCATGGGTTGAGTGGGCCTTAGAACCGACAGGAGAAACCGGAAGGCGTCAGCCCACCGTTGCAGAACTGGCAGCACACGATGGGGAATCTACTACGCCGAGGAAAGCCCAGCACAAACTGGGCAAGGCGATTAACAAGATACAACTTGAAAAGTTCATGGAGTCTCTGGAGCACCTCCCCCAGGAGGCGGTACCACCCACGAGGGACAACCCCTACGGAGGTCAAGAGGCCAGGAACATGGCATACGCACGAACGAGAAGCTCGCAAGGGCAAGGGGGGCACGCGTTCCTGAGAGCGGCTCCCACCGACCGAGCTCGAGAGATTCCATCGAACGAATTCGTCTACGCGACGAGACGCGCCTTGGGAGTTGAAGAATTCTTGGCGGAAAGATGTCCCAGGTGCCACAGAGGCAGGGAAGGCGAGATCATCACAACGGTGCACGCAAGGACCTGTCGAAGGGATGGAGCACAGGTCAACATGCACGAGCCGTTAAAATACGCACTATCGAGAGCACTCAACGGCCTTCGCGTCAAACACGACGTTGAAAGCGGGGCACCGTTCACGGGGGAAAGAAACCTGAGCATGGACATCGTCATCAGGCCAGGAGCCCTCACGAACGCATCTTCTCCGGGGTACCGCAACAAAGGAATACTCCTCGATGTCACACACGCAGACCCGCAAGCACAGGTACACTTGCGGAACGGCAGCGCGACCAGCGATGGAATCGCAGCCCAAGCATCCGAGGCGCGAAAGCGTCAGCACTACGCTCGTCCGGGACACATGTCCTTTGACGAACGCAGCTTTAAACTTACCACCTAAGCCGTGGAAAGCTTTGGCCGGCTTGGAGAGGAGGGTTACGAGTTCATCGATGAACTTGCGACACATGCCGTGGGAGGAAGGGACGGAGGAACGATGGCTCTGAAAGGAGTCTTCAAGGAACGACTTCTTCAGATCGTTTCGGTGGCTACACAGGTGGCCATATCTCGGCGAGTGCAGAGGTACAAGCTCGCATTGCGCGGGCGTCAAGACGCCGAAAACAGGCGAACAAGATCGACCTCGGACCAGTCAACGCCAATGATATGGGGATGGAGTGTAGACGCATCGTAGAACGCGTTTTCGTTTGAAGTTGGCGTCTTGTTTGAGAGTAGATGTGACAGATTTGCGTAGAATAGGGTAAGATGTTATCATGAACGGAGATGAAAGGGCTTTTCCAACACGGAGATGTAGCATGGATCAAAGCATTTGTTGGATTTCAGCTTTTACAAGCGGACATCAACGCAGTAGTATTTTAGCAAGCTTACGAACGCATATAGGATACCATCAGGATTGTCATTGGTAAGTTGAAGAGGAGATACTTTTACGATGTAAATGACAGTAGAAATAAGTCCTACATATGTTGTTGTACTTCGTATTGGTTTAATATTCATGTAGAGTATAAGACATTAAGTGAAAGTTTTCTGAGGTACATCTGCAATTGTCGGAAGGCAAGCATAAATAAATAAATAAATAAATAAATTGCATACAACAATCATAGAGCTGCATCTATTCTACTACGCATATCCTACAGCAGCAATGCGCTGTATTTCAATATATTTTTCGCATCGACCGCGTACCTGGTGACCAATAAAAAGACGTAACAGTGCTAGCAGGTGATATCAAGGTCCCTGGAAAGGCCAAAATTCGAAAAATGCACACTGCTCTAAATAAATGCGAATGCCTCCATGAATCTCTCCCCATATCGATTTACAGAGAAACACGTCAATAGCTCCACATACATGCCTTCCCCCGAATCTAGCAAGCCACCCAACGCAAAGACAGGAGGACAGCGAGAAGGGGCACTTCAAGCCCAACCAGGTCAAGATATCGTGGTATGCTGCATATCCTCCAATTTTGGAAATCGTACACTCCCAAGATCCAGCAGTCATCATGTCAGCAGCTATACAACAGCAGCAGCAGTGTAGACGAGTCCAACATACAGCAGTAGTGACAAATACACCATCATCACTCGAACCTAGAGAGCCACTGATGCAAAGGTAGGTGTGTGCTGGTGTGCTTGCATGCTTGTGGGAATTGTGGGAAAATCACAGGACCTGTTGTGAGCCGGCAGGGCTCGCATTGGGGAGGGGACAGAGAAGTGCAGAAGTACAAGAACCAGCTATGGGTCTACAACCCCTCTCACTGATCATTTTCACTGATCATTTAAGAATAATGAAAAAATAGTAGTTTAGGCGGCTTGACGACTGATCTTTTGGAGGCCTACAAACCTACCCTGCCCCAGCGGCCACACCGCGACCACGCATTACCCTTCTGACCCTGTCTGTGCCCACCGTCCTGCCGCGGGCAGCCCTCATGGCCTGTGGGTGGAGATAGCTGTTGCATCTACAGAAGTACACTCGCCTTTTTCTGCTGTACTTCTGTCTCTCTCGCCCGCTCTCTCTCCTTCTTTTTTGCCGCAAGAAGAAAATAGAGATAGGCCCAAAGGGGATAATAAAGAAGGGTGTGTACATGTACAACAGTCCTACAGCTGTGCATACTGAAGTCCAAGCAGCAAAGTACTCTTCGAACAACAGCAAGTTGTCAAACGATACTGCGCCATGTTCCCTGTGAAGGCCACGTTCCACATGAAATTAAGAATGTATCCGCCAATACAGATGCTTTCGTTCTTAGCTCCAACTGGCATTACTGATAACTCAGTGTTAGGCTTTCACAAACTCAAAATAAGCCAAGTCTCCAGTTGGTTTCAATCCACCCTTTCGACTGAGGTTATATCTCAAACGGGTAGTCTTTCTGTGAGGTTAGGTTTACTTTCTAAAAAAAGAAGGGGGAAGGAACAGGGTGAAAGATAGAGGTGCAGAAATATGAGACACGTGTACTTTTTATACTTTTATAGACGCACCAGCTATCTCCACCAATAGGCTATGGGCAGCCCGCGACGGGGTGGTGGGCACAGACAAGGTTATAGAAGGGTTGATGAGTGGTCCCGGTGCGGCCTGAAGGTCAGAATAGCCTTGTAAACCTTGAAAAGTTCAGTCGGCAAGCTTTCAACTACTCTTACTCAAGGAAAACGATTGGCGTCTACACTTCTCTGCCCCCCACCCAATGTTAGCCCTGCCGGCTCACTAGAGCTCCTGCGTTTTTCCCACAAGCACGCTGCTATAGCACACCAGCATACACCTACATTTACATCAGTGGCTCCCTAGGTTTGGGCGAGGGTTGTGTGCAGAGCTAGTTTGTGTGTCTGTGTGAAAGCATGTGCGGAGAAATTCATTTGTTGCGGCATTCGCATATAGCGCACTGTGCATTTTTCGATTTTTGGTAACCTTCCAGTGACCTTGATTTTTCCCACTGGCACTGATGTCTTTTCATTGGTCACCGGTTAGCGCGGCAGTGTTAGTACTAAAGACACACCTACCCATGGAGTTGCCAACACCTGGCGTGGAGGGCTATAGGGCGGCAACCACACCAGCATTTGCTAATGGTCTATGATTGATCTGTTACGCCTGTAGACCCAACGACGGTTAAGAGATTGTGTATCCTTCCTCACGGGAGTGGTCAGAATTCCAGCAGTGGCAAGACCCGCCCTATTGCCCAGTGGCTGACTTATTGCGGTGCGGCAGACCATGAAATACAGCAACTTCTGGGGCCCAGAGATATATATTGGAGTGGTCAATAACTGCATGCTGGAATAGGATTGGTCGTTGGTACCTACTTGTGAGTTTCCTTTGACTTGGCAAGAAACCGAATGCCTGGACGATGCCGTACGTATGTGATGCGCCGGCGTTTTCGAATTCCCCACATGTGTGCATGTAGAACACCCGCTGAAGCTGCAGCATGAGCGGTAAAGGCGGTTGTCGAAGCAGCAGAGGCGGCTAACGCTGCAGCGGTGAAGCCTTGGAATCAGGTATTTATCCGCCGGTCGTGAAGAACAGGTGTACCCTTGACTGATTGGGTTATGGTGCTTACGTGGACACTTCGTGTAGCATACCTTTGTGTTGTACTGCTATTTCGTCCACCCAATCTACGGTCACCGCTTTTTTTCGAGCATGACTAGGTTGTTGGAATGTGCGTGACGGCTTCGGGCAGGATGGTCTTCCGCTTGCTAAAGTTGATGTGGGCTGATGGCGCTTTCAATGTTCCACCCGTCTGTGACCACTATACCACGTATCTGTTCCTGTTGTTTCGGTCACGTCATTGAGGAGAACGCCGAGTGGCGACGGCAGCGTCAGCAAGGTTTCGGGCAAGTATAGGGCCGGGAAATACAGAACAGGTATTTATGTAGGGAGGACGGTGTTTGGCCCTGGTGGTGGATGACAGCCCGTGCTCGATGCTGTCCGCTGGTAGTGTCGTGCCACCTACATGACCTCTTTACGAAGGTTCCACATCATTCGGAACCACGGCGTCTTGCTAGTTGCAATCTTCGTCATGTCGAACACAGGGTCCATGCCATCTGCTGGTTTGGGAACCGACATGGATGAATTTGCTGTGGCAGCCGAGGTGAGTGTGCAACTGCGAAAGATGGACTCTTCGGCCCGATGAATTGCCTGAAGTTGGCTTATTCCCCACACCTACGGGTGGGAGGGAAATACGGGCACAAACGATGAACATTCCCACTAAGCTGTTCCTGCAGTAGAAACACGCCCTCGGTCCCTTGTTTTAGAGGTTGCAAGCACCGGCCAGGGGAGGAAAGGAGAAACCGAAGTAGGTATCCCAGGGTGTGAAGTCTCGCGCGGTGTTGGTTGCTTGGGTCAACGTTGAGAGAGAGAATTATGGCGTGTGGTCTCGACGATCGGCGTGCCTGCTGAACTTTCGACGATATCGCTTGCCAAACGTGCCACTGCATCTGATGTCCATGGTACTGACCGGATGTCCCTTAATGCCTGTTTGGCGGAAAAAATAGTATGTACCCTCGGAGCACCTATTCGTGACCGTCAGAAGGTCAAGATGTGCTTGGGATATGTCTGTCATTCTATCACAACGGCGTTTGTCATCACAAGGGAGTTGCTGAATCCAGGCCGCCACTGTTTGTCATGCCGTGGCTGAGTGGAGGCAGCACGCAGACGGAAAGCGATGGTTGCAAACCTAGAGAATTTTCGAGACTCGATTCTTACCATGAAGCGCAAGTTCTCTCTCCCCGTGACCTCCCGCTCACACTAGTTTGGCTTTGTTTGTTTCACCTTCTTGCAAGCACACGACCGTGTGTTGATGGATCACGTAAACAGGCCTCGTCCGGGATAGATAGCGTCCGGGTGAAGGAGGAAGTGCAAGAGGAACAGGAGGGAGAACAGGAAGCGAGGCTAAGCTAGCGTTCGTGTCTGCGTGTTGCTGTGACGTAGGCTGGACATGTTTGGCGCCTGTCGCACCGAACTGCTGTCTAAAGTGAGCGCGTGCAATTTCTTAATTGCTGATGCTCCATGGTATCTTAAGCGTGGTCTGTACGACCTGCGTTAGATCTGGCCGCTCAACATGTTGGCAGCCACCTCTGTGCAAACGGACGGGCCGGGGGGAGCCCATCCCGTCCATCCCGTCCATCCCGTCCATCCCATTCACACCCAATCACGTCATGGCAAAGGCTTCCTCAGTTGTTTGGATGCGTTGTTGATTGTACCTGGAGATCGTGTTAGCTCCCAAGCCTGTTTCTTCTTTGAAGTTGACTCCTCGGTAAGGATTGTTAGTTGTATGTCCACCTGATCGCGCTCAGATACCGCGCATGACTGGGTTGTACTTCACGTCTACATGAGTTGAGGCTTTCTGTGTAGCCCCAGCCAGGGTCATCTTTTGGAGATGGTACTTGCGGCATCAGGGAGACCCATGCTTACAGTTTTCGGATGACTCGCTACAGGCAAGGCCGGGCAAGAGCAAGTCCGCGGTATGGCCAAAGCCCTGCTCCGACACAGCATCTGGACAGCCAGCAGCCGGGCGCCCAACCAAGCTGAAAGGTAAACAGCAATGGGGTGTTCGAGTGTACCTACCGCACGAGCAAGGGGATTGCTGTTGTGGCCGTTGCGGTTTTCAGTTTCTTGTTTGCCTGTATTTCCAATCCAGTAGCTATTCCTCTCCTTAGATGTTCCTCTACAATGTCCTCGGCCCCGCTGGTAAGCAAGTTTTCTCCGAAGTGCCGATTCCAACAGTCAGCCTTGCAAACAGCCGTATTGCCACGTAGCGGGTGCAAGGAGCCACCCGATCAGCGTCCAGAAATGGTTACGAGATTCAAACTTGATTGGAGGAAGGCGTTGACTCTCTCTGTCGCAGGCGAAGACTCGCTGCTGGCATCTCGAAACACAGCATCAAGTCATGCTCTATCGCAGGACCGCATACTTTTGCTGACAGC